AACGGTTATGAGTGATGATGGAGAGTGGAGGAAGAAAAACTTTTTAAACGATGCGCTGCTGGTTATTTATTTATTTAATCGAAACGTTTTGTTTCATCTATGTAGATAATACCTTCCGTCAGAATACTGCGCATAAAATTATCATCAAAATTTAAGTCATTTAGTAGTAATACGTCCACACTGAGGTTAGAAAGAAAGTTCAATTTATTGCGCAACACTGTACGTTCAGAAATATATAACTGACATTTCAATAAATAATGGTCTTTACCCAGGTCCAAGAAAACGGCACCGTTAACGGCAAGTTAACGAGCCGTTTTTAGTTCCTAAACGGACCGTTTTCAGAACCTAAAACTTAGATCGTTTTTTCACCGTTTACGGATCGTTTTGTAAACGTTTTCTTACCATTTACTGACCGTTTACTGGCTGTTTACTGCCCGTTTTCAAATCGTTTTATGCAGTCTGTGACCAAGCCTATGTCGTATACTGGTTGTTTACTTACCGTTTACTGCCCGTTTTTTGAACGTTTACTGATCGTTTACTGGCTGTTTACTAACTATTTACTGACCGTTGTTTAGTCGTTTTTTGACCGTTTACTGACCGCTTTTTGAACGTTTTATGCCATTTTGTCCATGCATACAAACTGTCTACTGGCTATTTTTTGAACACTTTTCTTGCATGTGCGAGCTTATTTGGCAGATGATGAATTCATCAAACTTTTCATAACAGATTGAATGCCGTGAGTCCTTCAGAAGGACTATTTTTCTCATTAAAAGTGTCCTGTTGTTTTGTTTTCAAACTGGAATATCATATAGTTCTGTTGAACTGTAAATGTAATATTATCGTAAAATGTATCAAAATAGCACCTGAATTAATTCAGAGTCAGGTTTTATGGTAGTTTCATAGTTGTTGATAGCAAAGTTCAACAGAACTATATGATATTTCAGTTTGAAAACAAAACAACAGGACACTTTCAATGAGAAAAATAAACCTTTTAAAGGTTTATGGCATTCAATCTGTTATGAAAAGTTTGATGAATTCATCATCTGCCAAATAAGGTCGAACATGCAGGCGACCACTTGTACACGTTTAACAGTCACCAAGTAGAGGTTTTTCGAGTTATCATTAACAATACGTTTATTACAAACATTTATAGACAAAAAGTAATGGTTAAGAAACAATGTTTACGCAAAACAAAAAGTAAAGTTTTTTCACTTCTTCTTTCGTGTGTGTCACGTGTTGAACTCACTTTTGTTTTAAAATTGGAGTAAATTCAGTGATTCCAGTAATAGGGATGACCACCCTTCAAGGTCAGAAGTTATCTGCAGTTATACACAATGCCAATGATTGCCTATATGGTTATGACAGCGTGAATGACCAATTCTACCCAGTGAGCGTTTCTTCTCACTCTCACCCACAATATTTTATCCATAATTCCATATCCAATGTAGACCCAAATTCTAATTTAAGTCACCAGCTACAACAACAACCATTAGTAATGTTCCGAATCCCAGAGACGTCTCCCACTTCAGCGCTGATGAATCAGCGTTCGACTAGCGCAAGTGACTCACCGTTAGTGATTCACCAACAAAAGTCGACATTTGCCAATAACCAGTCGAACTTGGGTATACAACAGTCACAAACGCAATCTTGTGTACTGCCGCAATTATCGACAGGGATCGAGGAGGTGTCCCAAAATGTCATAGATGATGGACATATCACGATTGGGGCAAAGTGAAAAAGTGGCAAGCAAGGTAACGCTACAACCACGATTGATAGCGACGAAGTATCAACAGAAGTTCGTCGCTTTGCCGAAACACGGTATCCATTCCCTCCTTTTTTGGTCAAATTCAAGGAGGATATTAAAGAAAGTAATGTGATTAATGAATTGAAACAATATATGGAAGTCAATTATAATATCCAACTGGAATTCGAAGGTTACAAATTAAAAGGTAAACAAGAATTACTATTATTCGTTAAAAACCGCGAATCTTTCGTTATCCTCTTTGGATCGACGAACTGGCCATCGACATTATGTTCTCTTGATTTCCAGTTAGTGGTGCCTCGTCGTTTACCACCTCAATTTTCTATTATGCTCCGTAACGTTGCTCCTGACATGGATACGAGTCAGCTATTAATGGAATTGCAACAAGTTTATCCGGATATAATCAATGCATCTCGCATATTCAACAAAGACAATGGACAAACAACGCTTGTTAGATTGGATATTCAAAGTGTTAAAATCATAGATGAATTACTAAGAAAACAATTTGTATATTTGTATCATTCACGTCATCCAGTGAATGAGTATCTAGTCCCTGCTAAAGTGTTAGTGTGTTCAAAATGTTTTCAACTTGGACACTTCCGTAGCAATTGTCCTCAACAGCGGAATAAATGTAAAATATGTGGTTTGGAAGTAGACGATCTCAAGAAACATCGGGAAGAAGATTGTGATAATCTATCAAAATGTGTAAGATGTAATGACAGTCACGGTTCGAATGACAACAGATGTCCAACGATTAGATCTTACCGTTCCATATTAACAAAACAATTATTAAGAACAACCGAAACGAAGCAGGTCAAGGACAAGGATAGAGGAACCGCATTTCAACATAATAATAATGATTTTTCCCCAGTGCGATGGTGAACATCAATCGTTACAATAGAAACGGATGGGTGGATGGGAAGAATGGTGAACGGTTATCCAGATTAAAAAAAAATGTGGGTGAGAGGGGCGAAGAGATTAACAGACTATTAAAGGTTGCAGAACAACATGATGAACAACTACGTCAAATGCAGCATGTACTCCAGGATCAAGAAACCCGGCTAGAACAATATGCTCAAAATTTAACGCTACTTAACGTGGATATTAAATTTTATAACGAATTTTTAGGTCAGTTTATTACCCCAGTCTGCCAAGCGATGCTAGAAATTATTCCAGCATTAGTCAATAAACAAACGCTGAATACGGACACGACAGCATCACTAATTAGCCTATACAGTGGGTACTGTCCTCCTTGAATATATAAAAGATGATGAAAATATAGTTTGATCTTTTATATATTCAAGGAGGACAGTACCCACTGTAAACTTATTTCGTATTGCATCAACTTCGCGAACTAAAATTACATTAATTATAGAAGACCCATTCCCATTTTTTATAATAGTTTAAAGTACACAAGTTGTACACGAAACTGATCTATATTTTAGAAAAAGGACCCCTTTTAGTCTTTGACAACTATGACTGTGAATATTGTTGATTATCGTATAAAAAAGCAAGTTTTCGAGACAAGCAAAAGAAGTCTCAGCAAGTCGAGGAAAACGAAGAAGACGTTCTCTTTCAGTTGAATATTAATTAGGACGTTTGTCACATTAATTCCATTGACTGTGAGTCTATGGTCATACGAAAAAGTACAAAGTGTTTGTGTGTGTGTGTGCTTGTGTGTTTGTCCGTACAGAGGTGTGACGGACGTAAGCACACACGGTGACGGACGTACATACATATAGTGACCAGTGAGTGTGACGGATGTACATACATATGGTCATGTGACAGTGTGACGGACGTATATACATATGGTGACCAGTGGGTGTGACGGACGTACATACGTATAGTCACTGACGAGTGTGGTGGACATAGGTGCACATAGGTCGATGCGTTCGAGTTTCGCAAAAAATATGCATCAGTTCTGTAATAACAAAATCGAGTTGCAACAGAATGAATAATATTTGCGACACGACATTCATTCGATTTACAGTCAATGGACTTAGTAAATCGATACGATTCACGTTATTTATATTTAATCATTGTCATTATTTTGATTAGTCAAGTTGAGAGAATTTGAATAAATTTACCTACGTAAAGAAACTTTTATTCTAAAGTACTTTTCTGAGAAAATGAATAGTCTACAGTTTAAGAATATTTAAAAGAAATAGCAAAAAAATTTCGTGTATATGTATGTATACATACATCAAAAGAAACCGATAATATATCAAAATGTCATTGAAATAAATCCGTTGTCGCGGCACACGTATAGGACGAGGATTTTTCTGTGCACGGTTTTTTCCAGAATTATGCACGGTTTGCTGTTTTCCGTGCACTAAAAAATCTTTTGACATTTTTGTGCACGGTTACAGAAAGATGCACGGAAAAAGGCAGAA